CGGTGCAATTTTTATGGTTTCAAATCCTGTTGGAAACACTTTGTAACCCATACCAGATATCCACAGAACCAAAATAAACCATTCACGAGGGATATTTGTTTAAGGTCCGTTAATTACGCACTCTAAGTCATTGTGGTGCGAAATCTTACTGTATAGATAAAACCGCCTTCATACTTCGTGAATATTTTACTGTATTCGAAAAAAAAAAAGGCAGTAATGGCTCATATCAACTGATATAGGTATTATAAGTGTCCTAAATATACTTTAATTTTCTAAAGCTAATTTAAAGCATAATAAAAAAGAAATATATTTTATTTGAAGATCACAATTACACTTAACTTACAGTGATTCCTATAGAAAAAGTAACTTGCTAAAAATTCTAAAGTAAAAAAAAACAACAGACGTGAACATTAGCTCTTTTTCATTTGGTCATCAATGTTACTAGCCTGGGAGCATGGAATGAAGGACATTATGTTAGTTATTACCCGAAGTTACTATATATATATATATATCTGTTTAAACCATTGTAATCTCATATATGTAGATCTGTTTAAACAATCTCAGTGTTATATATGTATATGTCTGTTTAAACCATTTCAATAATATATGTATAGAGAGAGATGTGGTTAAAGAAAGTCAGTGTTATATATATATATCTGTTTAAACCATTGTAATCTCATATATGTAGATCAGGTTAAACAATAATATATGTATAGAGAGAGATGTGGTTAAAGAAAGTAAGTGTTATATATATATATATGTTTAAACCATTTCAATAATATATGTTTAGAGAGAGATGTGGTTAAAGAAAGTCGGGGTTATGTATATCTGTTTAAACCATTTCAATAATATATGTATAGAGAGAGATGTGGTTAAAGAAAGTCAGTGTTATATATATATATCTGTTTAAACCATTTCAATAATATATGTTTAGAGAGAGATGTGGTTAAAGAAAGTCCGTGATATATTTATATATATATATATATGTTTAGATCATTTCAATCTCGTATACACAGATCTGGTTAAACCATTTTAATCTAATATACATATATAGATCTGCTTAAACCATTTCAATCTAATATACATATATAGATCTGGTTAAAAAATGTCAGTATTATATATATATATATCTGTTTAAACGACTGTGATCTTATATATAGATCTCGTTAAAAAAGTTTCAGTGTTAGATATATATATATATATGTTTAAACTATTGTGATCTTATATATATCTTGCTAGTTTGTATTCCTTATGCGAATCAAACTTTCCCACAAAATATACACGACATAAGAATGTTTTTTGTTGTTTTTTACGTATGGTAAATCGAATCACAAATCTCAAGAAGATGTTGCTAACAATCCAATCAGGTAATGCTAATTGATTTCCGTGAAACAGGATATATACAGTGAGCGTGCTTTTCTTAAACTTTATATTTTTATGACGGTTTAATTGTCATTTTTAAGTCCGGTAATCATCATTATCTACTTCTGATCAAAGCAAACTACTAACAGAGATCAAAACTAAAACGTAGTGCAATAATTAATACAGTTAATTTGATAAACTTTCTACCTAGATGCTAAATTATGAAACAAAAAGCTCATAATGGTTAGAACGCAAAGATTTATCAGTTGGGTACCTTCGCTGTTAATGATATTTTCGGCCGTAAACCCAATAATACCTCACGAGGTTTGTTCAGCTTGAAAGATTTAGATCATTTGTAAATGGATATACTAAGCCAACAATGTAAAATAATCATAATAATAAGTCATACGAAATAAAATTCTACAAATAAGGAATAAAATATATACACACACACATATACATATATATAATTTTAACTAACATTAAATAAACAATAGAATATAACACTTATAAAACACACATAAAAACTAGATGTTTGTTTCATGCACTATCTTCCATTCCCGGGTCCTTGAAAAGCCATAATTTGAAGTAGAGCAGCTCTCAGAGTCACTAAATATCATTTGATAACAATGTTTGATCATTTTTATGGGACTAAAACACCACATTACTTATTTATACATTTCTGTATATGGAAAGCACACGGTCAAGCTGAATAAAAGCATTTATTGTCTAATGACTTGTTTGCTTTCAGAAGCTTTTATCAGAAAGTATTATTTTGCGTCTTATCTTAATAAATCGAAAAAACAAAAAATCGAAACACGTTGATCTGAAGAGAGAGAGAGAGAGAAATGCCAGACGTGT